GCCATTTTTTTTATAGATAGAGTGATTCTAGAAGAAGGTTTATGTATATAATAACGTACGTAACGTAACGTATATATAATAATGTACACTCGTGCTAAGCCGGGGCGAGTAGCTATTTAATTTATAAAGCAACAACGTTTCCCGAGTCAGCTAGCAATACCTGTAATAAAATCTGAGAGTAGTAGTCTGATAGAAAAAAGGAAACCTGTCTGTCTCAATATATTTTTCCGAGTGTACTATGAAGGATACGCCAATAGCAATCCATAAAATTATTCCGACAGATGGCTAGAGGTGGACTCGCTTGCTTCCACGTTATATTCAATATGCCTACCTAAATGAGGGTATAGTTAATTTTAAACTTTCGTGTTTAATATACATTATTTAAATTCTCTGTTACTCCAGCCAGCTCGTGACCACGGCTAGTGCAACCTAGTCGAAACGTCGAGAGAGGTAAATACCTTTATTTGCCATAAAATTATTCGTGTTAAGACCCGGTTAATAATTTAAATAATGTCTAGTATTGCGTTCATCATGATGTAGATAATTGACAATGCCTAAATACCCCATTTAGAATAACATTCGTACCATTACGAATGTTATTCTAAATGGGGTATTTAATATAATAAAATATAATAAAATAAAATCTGATTTGATAATTTTGTATTCTACTCTGGAAATAGACTATCAATATCCTTATCCTTACTAATATTATAAATGCGAAAGTAAGTCTGTCTGTATGTCGGTGTCACTTTCGTGCCAAAACTACTGAACCGATTTAAATTAAATTTGGTACACAGATAGTCTAGAGCCTGAGAAAGGATATAGGCTGTTTTTAATGCGAGAAAATGGTTGTAAGGGGAGATGTAAATTTGTATGGAAGTATCGTATGTATTAAAGCTAGAAACTAAAAACTTATTTTAAGGTTGTTGATTAAATATAAATATATATGACATTCAAAGTCTGTAACAAAATTACTCTTAAGGGGATAAAATAAAATAGGGGAACAAAGTTTGTATGGAAATACGTCATTTTTGAAGTTAGAACTATAAAACTTTTTGCGTTTTCATTTTTTGGGTTTCACTCGGACGAAGTCGCGAGCTAATTGTAGTAATATAATAAAAACTCTATTTTGGAAAAACGATTAGTCCTTATAAATAAGCAACCATCTAGCCCAGTTTATTTCAAATCCTTATAAATATCTCAACTTACCGAGTGTATATATTTCGGTACTCGATTCGCGTAATTTCGTCTGGGTAACTTTTCTTTGATGCTCCGCTTCTATAAATCCCAGCTCTAAATGAATCGTCTATCTAACACAAAAATATATCTTCAATTCCAAACAGTTGTTCCTGAGATTAGGTCGTTCAACCATACAAACTCTTCAGCTTTATAATAATTAATTCATTTGTTGTCGAATTGTGAATGGTATACTAGCAAAATCTTTTTTTTTTATAAAACAGGGGACAAACGAGTATACAGCTCACCTGATGGTAAGTGAATACCGCCGCCCATGAGCACCCGCAACACCATTGGAATTGCAAGTACGTTGTCGGTCTTTTAAAAAGGAATAAGCTCTTTTCTTGAAGGTTTTAATATCGTATCGGTTCGGAAATACCATTGCTGGAAGGTGATTCCACAATGTCAACCACATTGCGTGGCAAAAAGTTTCTAGAATACCGCGCTGTGGAGGACCTCCATTCATCCAGATTATCAGGATGGTATTTTAGTTTCTGACGGGTACGGTGGTGAAACTCAGCATCTCTCTACAATCCTTTTAAAAATCTTTGCCTATCTAGAACTATAGTAAGATCTATACTAGAATGTATATGTAAACCTGCACTTATAGGCTCCTACCGAGGTTTGGCTGGGAAGGGAGTAAAGCACGAGCGGTGAAGATGAGCGTCTTCGTACGTCGGCAAGAGGGATCTACACCCGGGTCTAAGTCCTGGGAACTGCTCGGAGTATCTCTATCTGCCGGCTTCCGTAAGGTAAATTCATGGAATGCCAAGTACGTCTCGTACGTATACGTATTAATAGAATTTAGGCAAATAAAGGAAGAACAATGTAAAATACGAATTAATTTCAATCACGAAATCATACGGAAACCTATTACACTACATAATCAGCCCCCTGTTGTGATATTTCGTGAACGCTGAATATATTATCATTCTAAAATCATGTTACATGTTGTTATTATATAAATTCAGAAACAAAAGCAGTCAAAGTGTAGTCAGAATTTCAATCCGCAGAAAGCTTAGCGTTTCAATTATAGTTGCAAATGAGTTTTGTTCCAGCCTGCCTCACACTAGAAAATAGTCGCTTTCTATTGTCAATGTTGCTACAGCTCAATGCTATATAGCATATTTGTACATGGGTTGCTATTTAATTACGTTCACTGTTGTGAAATCTAAATATATATAACTGAAAGGTGACTGACATAGTGATCTATCAACGCACAGTCCAAACCACTGGACGGATCGAGCTGAAATTTGGCATGCACGTAGATGTTATGACGTAGGCATCCGCTAAGAAAGGATTTTGATAAATTCTACCCCCAAGGAAATAAAATAGGGGAGGAAAGTTTGTATGAAACTTTGTCAATTTTAAACCGACCAGGCTGAGATTTTGCATGCATAAAGCTACTATGACGTTGGCATCCCCTGAGAAAGGAATTCGATAAATTCCACCCCTAATCTATCCCCAAATTAACGCGAGCGAAGCCGCGGGCAAAAGCTAGTACTCTTATATTCTTTATGTGTATGTCGTAAAATTACAGAGTAGCTAGAAGGAATAATAACTATCTGATGGCTCAGATGAAAAATGTTTTTAAAGTGAAATTCTGTATAGACCGAAAAATCCTAAAACAGCCGGTATTAGAATGTTTCGGTAAAGGAAAAGAGTAACCGTCGCGCCGTGCGCGGAGAGCGGAGCTTCCACTGTTATATATTAGAGAAAAAGAATTCTTCGTTGAAGTTTCACTTCTACTATGTTTCCATTACAGATTTCTTTTTTAATGGAATGGTGTATGCACATACGCTAACGATCTCTACTAGCGGGACGTCAGTTGATAAGATGAACATGAGGCCAGATCAGTTAGCCCATCGTTACCAATTCACCAGAATTATCATGATAATTTTCAGAGGAAAAAGCGTGGAGTCAACCTGATGTGGTACATTGCTAGCAAAAGCCACATTACTAACAATCTTCCCCCTTCATAGAAAGTGTTAATAGTCGCATTAGGATTGGCGGTCCTCCAATGTGCGGTTGTTTAGAATTTTTTGGCACGCACAACCACATAGGCTAACAACGCACTTGAAATTGCCGTAGTGCTGCTGGTGATTATGGGCGATGATAATTACTTAGCATCAGGTGAGCTCGTTTGTCCCCTATGTTATAAAAAGCAACTACGTGAGGAGGTCGTGATGCTTTTCTGCATCACGATTTTTGCTGAGAACTAATATGTTATATTTTAAACTGACATATCTCGCCTATGAATTAAACTGCCATATCTCGATGTTCGACTGAAATCCTTGACGGCACAAGTAAGCTTTATTAAAAATTTCTTCATCTGAAAAAAATGGTGGGATGGTTACATGTATGAAGACAATAAGTAAAGCCTTCAAGTCTTATTCTTTCCCATTTCTGATCGATTATTTTTTGACAGACTTTGCAGTACATCTTTGCCCTTTGATTTTTCACCTATCTACGTATATTTTTTGCCTATAACATACTGAATGTGACGTATAAAGAGGCTTATAATCGGCAAGATTTTAATTGCCCAAGTTTTTGTATTCATGAGAGATCAGAGGCCTAATTGAGGGCGAGTTGTGACGTAAAGCTTCTTCAATGGAATCATGACTCCAGTTACAAACTTACCGTTGTTGATAAGGAGTTTAATGCTAACTGTTTAACTATGGTCCCTGAAGTAAGATTCAAGCGAAATAACTTGAAATTATAATATATAAAAAAATAGTTAAGTAATATTACAACTCTATTAGAATATCTGTTTTTCTTTAAGACTCACTCGAGTTTATCTATAGAAATAACAGACGCAATAAATAGTTTAAATTTCCAACTTGTTATATTACCCTTGTACAATTTTTTTCAACAGTATTATCTACAAAATTAGTAGCACGGCACGACGTCTAGATATCTTTTTAATTGTATATGCTATCTTATATTTATTAATTTATTTATATATGACGTGAGTCAGAGTAAAATATTTGCCAATCATCAGTGCTATTTCTTTGCTCTCATTATATTATGCTTGTCTTAAATCCCCTTGACTATTTATATACTCAGTATTCTGACTGATATAATATACTTTCAAAAGTTTATAAAGTAACAAGGTATGCTAAATCGCTACACCACCATTGTCGTTCAATTCTTTAAATTTATATATTTTTTACTGCTCAAGTAATTCCTAGGTCCTAACGCAATTTATTTGATGATATTTACATGTTAATTATACGCGCAAAAATTAGTTTGTTAAATCCAATATTTTACTGAATTAAACAAAAAATATTACAAATATATCAGAATGAATACGTTTGTAACTTAGGCCACGTCAAGGATCAAGCGGGCTTCCAAAGTCACAGCATTTGAAGGCAAAGATCGGAGATGCTGCGAAAGATCACTTAATTCCTCGGGTTTTATTATAACTGTTTTCATTAAACTGTGTAAAGTTTGAATGCCTTATTTATGCAGACGTATCAAATAGCTTATCGTTCAAACAAATATAATGGAATATTAAAGTAACTCGCTAATTATGCATTGATCATACGAGAATGAAGAATTGGGTGTAGCACTTTTATTTTATGGTTTAAATAAAATAATAATTAGATTAATGTATGAATAATAGTATATTTTAAATGCATTACAATTATGTTTGGCGTGGTATTCATGTGGATAGAAATAAATTTAATTAACATACTTTATAATCTTGCTGGAACATATGTATATATACCGCATATATATTCTCTAAGGTTTTAAATGTTTCTTTATTTCAATTTTTTTACCGTGCCAGTACTTGTTTCTGTGTCATTAGAAGATCCGGAATTTGAATACTCCAATGTACTAGAACTGCTTTTGCTTTTATTACTGCCCTTCTTACCTTTAATACTTTTAGACAATATCGAAGCAGGCTTGATTGATCGTTTTGGTTTTAATTTTACAGCCTTTTCTGGGGGCCTATGGATACTTTCTGTTCTATGTTGAAGTTTATTTAAACTAAAATTTGGTTTGATTTGGGCCGTTTTATCTAATTCACTTATACCAGGTAAGTGCAAATCAGATATATAAATATAATCTTCATTGCTCTTAGGAGCAACTTCTCTCTTATTTATTTTTACTGGTACGATCTCTAATTTTTTTTCAAATATTGTATCCGGTCCTTTAGTATCTAACAAAGTTTCACTCATATTAGTTGGCGATTCTATTCCACCAACCAATTCTTTTATAAGTTTGTCTTCTGTGAGATCATCTAAGAAATCTTCTTCTTCTTCCAGAACTTATTATTCTAGGTCATCAGAACAGAATTAAGAAAAAGATGTTATGGAACCTGCTTGAGAATGAAAATCATCAGGTAATCTTATTCTGGGAATATTAGATGGTAATTCTATTTGACTTGAGGGGGCTTTTATAATTATCCTCGGATCTTGTAATAATGGAATGTTACTTGATGCTATTATCACTTTAGGATAGTCTCTTTCTATTGGTGTTGTTATTACTGAACCAGTTGGACTTTTTTGCGTGATAGAATCAGGTAGTCTGATATTTGTTTGACTGGAGTCGTAATGTGGTGTTAAAGAATCAATATTTTCATAATTATTATCAGAATTATATGTTTCCGATATATTGCTGGATTTAAAGGAATCGAAAGAGTTTAAAGGTTTTGTATTTCTGTAAGCAAGGCGACGATCTAACGTTGTTGTTCTAGGAGGAGGCTGTGGTGGGACTTTAGGGCGATCACATTGATTATCTGCATTTTCAATATAATTTCGAAATGTTTGTAAACTAGTAGGTTGTAAGGATAATCGTTTTTGCGTTTTAGGTAAATCTGGAAGTACTTTCGGAAAGTTTCTTCTTTTTATAGTTAATAAAGCTTCTTCAGCAGTCAAAGGTTCAACTTTGGTACGTTCATCATATGATGTTACATTTATATCATTTCTAAAAGTAACAGGAGGAAGGATATTAATAATTTGATTACCACACTCTCTTTTATCTTTCATAAGTTTATCATAGTTAACATCAGTTACAGGATCTGAAGAGGAATGTTTGTGAGATATTCTTAACGGTTTTTCTTGGTCAACTGACAACATTACTACGTTAGTATATGTTTTTGTTTCATTAATTTCATCAACAGGGTTATTTTGTACTATATTCAAATTAATATCGTCTTCAGTTCTAGATTTTTCTAGTATATTTTCATTATTGGAATGCCTTGTTTCTCCACAGTCAAATGATTTATAAATTTCTATCGGCTCTTGTTTTAGTATAGAGTTTGTACGTGCAGCTGGTGTAGCGTCGATTGCTACAGATACTTTCTTTGATTTAATACTTTCTGTTCCCTTGCTTCTGAGAGAATCACTAGATTTTCTAGTCTGTTTTATACTCAATGTTGAATTTTTGTTGCTTCCTATAGAAGAGTGTGAGTCTAGGGCAGATGTTGAAGTGGTTTTCTCAGACGTTCTTGTTTTGTTACCAGATTTTCTGTAAGCATTATTTGTTGAATTCACATCTTCAACATTGTTGACTTCTTTTTTAGAACGCTTTACATCGGATAATAATTCTTCGGATCTAGTAAAAGGTTTAATTACAGTCAACCTTTTGTCGTTGTTTAAATCGGAGTTTGATTTCCTCATAATGCCTGGAGAACATCTATGCATAACTTCGTTAGCAATCCAGTCTCTTACCTTTGTATGCGCATCCAATGTGCTAGTAGATAGATGTCTTCTCAATTGAAATCTTTCTCTAAATCCTCCTGAATCATCAGACTTAGGTGTTTTACATGGTTCCGACTTTTTCTTGTGCTTTTTTTATCACGTAATTTATTAAAACTCATAGACTTTATAACGCTGCAACCATTTTTAAACGTCTGTAAAGCACTTTTGTCATCTTTGGAACCTTTTTGTCCTATTACATCAACTTCCCCGACATCTGCACGAGGTTGTCGAGGGATTTCAAAAGCTTGCTCTCGAATACGTAACTTACGTTTCTTAAAGTATAATATGGAACATATACCTACATTTACAGCTAAGAATAATATACCGAGTGATATAATAAGGGTTACAGTAGCGCCAGACATCTTTACTGGCAAATTAGGATTTAGAGGTTTCTCAGTAGGTTGAACTGCTTTGTCCATTAAATTCGGTGGTACTGTACGTGGAATGGGTTTCATTGACTGTGTCTGCCCATATATTATATCTGGCTCTGATCGCGTCTCCGGAGGAGAGTACAATCGAACCCTACCATATGTAGGAGCACTATATCGAGGAGGCTCCGCCACTTGAGGCTTCCATATTTTTTGGATTGGATCTGTGGAGCATACATAGAATTATTATTGAATTATTTGACACATAGATTATTAGAGATATTGTAGTCTGTGGTCGTATTCATGTCATTCACTCATATATCACTACAATAACTCTAATATCGTCTGTAAATAACATTTGTAATAAAAAAAAAATCTAAGCCGTTTAATGAACTATTTATGTTTAAATTATATCCAAAACTATACAGCATAGTAAGTAGAGGCTACGCTTTGCTATATTTTATTTGATTTCTTATTTAATTAGTACCTTTCTATACTCACTTTTTGTATAATCAATAATCCGTTCTTATAATATACAATCAACTATTACAGACATATAACTGTATACTTCTTCCTTTTTGATTGCTAACTCTACTATATTGCTAACAGTGTTATTGTAATATAAATTTATAAATTATACTATTATTTCATGGTTAACCTCAAAACTTGCTTTATTTACTTCATTATGTGTAATCGAATAAAATAAATTGTTCATTTTTTTTAATAAACTTATTCTCTATTTTGTATAATATAAACAATACAAAATAGGTCTGAATTACATATTGATGTCATAATTTTCCCAGAGGATAATATTTTTGTACATAATTTATATAAATTTCATCCGTGCGTAGAACACGTACAAGTACGTAATAAGTACGTGATCGATTATCAATATATTCGTTCAAGTATGATCACGGTAGGAAATTCATTAGGAATATTGCTAATAATATGAGTGCTTTGTAGTTACTTCACCTGGGACACGGTGTGTTGACTTAGGTTTCTGTGTGGTCGGCCTAGGAGTGTACTCGAGCAGTGGATCAATAAGGAACCTCCTCATCTTTTTAGGTAACGTCTCAAGCCAGAAGTTCGTGTAGTTCGAACGATACAGACTGCTGATGTAGGGTGGTATATCTGAAAAAGGTTGAAACTGATTGAAAAAAAATAATAATAACATAAAAGAATATACCAGCCGAGTCTCTTGCCAGTTCTTCGCAAACGAAGTTAAAAGCTAGCCGAACTGGAACTATCCATCTTCAATAACATTTTTCAAAATACCTACTAAGGTATTTTGAAAAATGTTATTGAAGATTGTAACTGTCTGTAATGAAAGAATAATGACATAAAATAATGTATCATGAGTTTTATACTAGTTCTTCTACAACTGGAGTTGTTTGAGGAACTGGACCGGACGATAGGAATAGTGATAAAAATATGATGTACACGAATGACCGAAAGGTCCTTTGTGAATTCTTAAGTTTTAGAATTTTGAACCTTAAATCATCTTGAACTTAGGTTCAGATCTTCATACCAGTGGAATATTAAAATTTTATTAAAAAATGTCTACTCAACTATAAAAGCATTTATTCGTGTAGGACATTTCAACTACTTTATTTATATTTTAATTTGAGCGCGTTTGGCCGCAATCTCAGCTGATGTTAAGTGATGATGCGGTCTAAGTTGTTACACACAAGCTTAAACAGTGCCTATTCACTCTTAACTTGAAAGACCCAATGTTGTAAGAGGCAGGAAAAATAAATGCTGGTAGAGAGTTCCACTCCTTAGCTGCTCGCATAAGGAAAGATGATGCAAAACGGTTAGTTCGAGCAGCTGGGATATCAACAGCGTATGTGTGGAGCTGCTCTCTACGTCTTGTTGTACGGTGATGGAACAGTGCTGGAGGAATGAGGTTTCGCAGTTTTTAAACACATTTGCCAAAATGGATCCTATTCAACACCGTTAGACAACCCACTACTTCACTACTTACAGATATCAGTATTTACATTATTTAAAATCATTGTTTTGATTTCTATTACATTCATAAAGTCATCCAATAATAGTCATTCTCGTATATCATCCGTACAGACAGCGATCAGTTAATTTTTATTGTATTTTTTATATATATAGAAATTATTATCTATTTCCATAGGACATCGCGAGTGATCGACTGACCCGATTACGCCTATTCTTTTTTGTTGCGTTTGTTGTTGTCAACAGAATGTTCTTACGAAGGGAACAAATTAAGAATATCTCAATATTTTATTAATTATACCAATGGGAAATCACACACATACACGCCACTAACTATCACATACTCCACACCTAGCGACAAATTCTACAACTTCACCTCACAAATATGTACATGTAATATTTTTAAGATGTATTACAATAGCACAGTAAGTCCCCGGAGAGAGCCTGGAGATCTGTAGTACAGGTTTTCTAGTTCAGACTCCAGACTCTCAAAAGGAATAACTTGTAAGGTGAAATTTATTAATTTTTCTTTTCATATTGTAATATTTCCTTGTGAGCACTAAAATAAAGATTATTATTATTATTATTTACGCTATTGTTGCATTTTCTCAGCTTTTGCTGGTTTTTTCCACACTTACGGGCCAAAACCAAGCGCGTATGTGTGTGTGTGTATGTGTGAGTGTGTGTGTACTTATTGTGTAACTGGTGTTATTATTATTATTATTCATAGACAGAACAACAGCTAGTGTATAGATAAAAGACAATTTCAGAATATATTTCAGGTGACGACTTACCCAACTTCAAATACGACTGATGCTCGACATCGTACTCCGGCCATTCCACATTGTACTGACCCCAGTGTTTGTGGTCTAACGTGAAGTACTTATTCACGCTTTGTGTGTTGGGCGTACTGAAATTAAAAAACAAAATTAAAAAAAAAGTAAAAATGAATGAATATAAATATAATGAAGAGATACTTGTAGAGACGTTTATTATAAGAAAGCGCAGTAACAGAAGTAATAATAAAACAATTGTATAAAAAGAACTCTCATATTTTAAATATGGATAAACGAATATAAAAACTGCCAGTGACTGTAGGTCTAGCAAAAAACTTATTGTAGTATAAATGAATTTTTGTATGCAGAGGTTAATTATTATGTACTATATTAATGATATATCAAATCAAAACAAAATATCTTTATTCATGTAGGTCTATTACAGACTTTTTTTATCAATAACTAGCTGACACACTTCGTCTGCATCATATTTACTTGACATTTATCATTATATTTCGCCCAATTTACATAATATATTTTTAAATTATATCCCATATTATTCTGATATATAAGCTACATTATTGTAAAGTTTCATCAAAATCCGTTCAGCAGTTTTCGCGTGAAAGAGTAACAAACATCCATCCATACCCACAAAGTTTGCGTTTATACTCATTACATAGTATAAAACAAAGTCGCTGTCGCTGTCTGTCCATCCCTATATATGCTTAAATCTTTAAAAATCTTAGTTAATTTTAGTAAGGTAGTTTTAAAGATATAAGCATACATAGGGACGGATAGCGAGAGCGACTTTGTTTTATACTATGTAATGATAACAAATGTGATAACATATATGTAATAAACACTACAACCTATGTTATAAACATTTTATATATTACAGCCGTTTATTCGCTGCTTCCAGCAAGTACTTCGTGAAATTTTAATCGCAATTATTCTAGTTACACAAAGACGTTCCTAAATTAAAAAATAAGCTTAAACAAGGACAAAGTAGGCCAATAATTAAAATACATTCATTGGACGTTTATTTACTTTAATATTCAGAGCAACACACAAGTTTCTTGCTTGTTCTTCTTGTGATGAGACAGCGTTCCGAATGAGCGGTAGTTTAAAAAAAAAATGTTATGACTATTCAAAAGTGCTTCAATGTAAGTTTATTTGAATAAATGATTTTCTATTCTATTCGAAATTTATTGTATACTCGTATTTTTTTTTTATAATTTCAGGACAATTCACATCTAGTCGCGCCATCTGTTCCCAAGTTAAGTTAGGTACAGCTTATGTTACAGATACTAGATAACTGATACAAGTACATAGATATTTTTTTTTCGTAAATATTATACATAGAAAACAACCAGACCGATATATTTTGCTATTTAAAAAAAGAGGTTGGTTGTAGAAGGGTGATATTTAGGTAAATATATTTATTTTTTATGATGTAGCATTAAAAATACATAGGTATAAATATTGTAAAAAAGTAAAACAAATTGTGAATATGTTACCCTTATCGATTAGCGATATAAAAATAAATAACTTCTACTTAGACCTACCGAGTATATATATAAATCTTCATCAAAATCGGTTAAGCCGTTTCAGAGAAATAACGCTGTGACGCGAGATTTGTATATATATTACATACTAGCTGTTCCCGCGACTTCGTCCACGTGGAATTTTACTAAAATATTTTCTTCTAAAATAAAAGTAGCCTAAGTTGCTCCTTATTACATCAGCTACTTGCCAAAAAAAGTCCCGTCAAAATCGGTCCAGCTATTTCAGAGATTACCCGGAACAAACAGACAGATACTCCAATTTTATTTATTTGCAGAAATAGAAAATTTCAGAGGGCACCCTTATTTCAGGGATAACAACCTATTCTTAGACGTACCGAGTATATATATAAAATGTCATCAAAATCGTCTAAGCCGTTTCGGAGAATTGGTAAACTGGCTGATACGTCATACTCGTGAATGAATGCTGCTTATAGGAACTGGTCTGCTCGAATCACTGTTGTGTACTTAATCTTATGGTGTACTTAATATCTGAAGTTAATAAATTAATACTAGTTAGTGATTTGTATTCGCACGTTTCGAATTGGAAATGTAAAATTACAATGATTATTTAAAAGAGCAACACGCAAGTTTCTTGCTCGCTCTTGTGATGAGACAACTTTCCAAATGAGCGGTAGATTAAAAGAATGATTACTGTGACATATAGATATTTATATATGACTAGCTGTCCCGGCAAAAGTTGTTTTGCCTTAAAATAAAAAAAAAATTAGGGGTGGACTACCCCTAACATTTAGGGGGATGAAAAATATAAGTTGGCCGATTCGCATACCTACTCAATACGCTCACAAAATTTCATGAGAATCGGTCAAGCCGTTTCGGAGGAGTATGGGAACGAAAACTGTGACACGAGAATTGTATATATAAGATATAGTTTATTTGAATAAATGATTTTCTATTCTATTCTATTCTAGAATGGAATATATAGATTATTAGAATATTTCAAATATACATTACTTAGTATAGATTTCGTTATGAATTTATTTTATCTAAACATCTATAGAGAGTTAAAAATCTTAGCCGTATAAAGTAAAAGAATTAAATATAAACAGAGTAAAAAAAAATGTGTTTTCGTTTACAAATTCGCTTTTGAACGCTTGAAAATATTCATCATTTAATCATTAATCACACAGTCGAAAACATGGCGCCTGCTGTGATCTCAAGAATGATAAGTGGTTCTTTGGAGTTATTTAACTTATTTCCTAAAGCAATTCGTTATTAATTTATAAATCTGAGAAAAGAAAATTTATTACGTGACGCACAAACGGCCGCCTACAATATCCTGTTGCATTATTTATTCCTTATTAGTAAGATTTTCCCGTTTTTGAAACATTTTTCATTCTTGCTCTGCTGGTATTGATCGTAGAGTATAGCGTATTTATTATATAATATAGATTTGTCTCTTCTCTTCTCTTCTCTTTCAGTATCTGTCAGTCCACTCGGACGTACGCCTCTTGCATAATTTTCACTCTGTTCAATTTTCGGCACAACTTATCTAGGTAGGCCCAGTTGTCATTTTTTTTGTTCTGTTTTTCCCTTTTCAGGGAAAGGCAAAAGGACTCAGCCTAAAAGCCATTGTCTTCAGTATTACTTTCTTATATTATTTTTTTCTAATAATTGTCATCACAACTTATAAATCTTGAAATGTTGATATGACGTACTCAGAAATGGGTTTGTAAGTTTCTGGGTTCATCAATAGATTCTGGATGGAGCGCGGGATCTCCATTTTATCATATATATTGATCAATTTATCAATAAATATTAATAGCTGGTTGATGTCAGACTATCTGACAATTGGTCTGCCATCCTAGGTTGCCACATTAGGAATCTGCATCTCCATTTATGACAGATGGACATGCAGATCTACGTCACGTAATATAAAAAATAAAAAAGCTTTTTACCCTATTTTTACGAAGTTCGTCCACAATCTCATCATTACTTCACTCAACAGCTTCTCCTTCTGCGTATATTCTGTATGGAAGTGCGTATTCGCACCGCCAAGAGGTACTCCCAATACATACGGCAATTCCTCGCCGTGGACGCTTTTGTTTAACTGAAATTCAAAGAATTCATATTAGAAATCAATCATTACTATTATTTCTATCTAAATATATATAACTCAAAGGTGACTGACATAGTGATCTATCAACGCACCGCCCAACTGCATGGATGGGGCTGAAATTTGGCATGCACGTAGACGTTATGACGTAGGCATCCGCTAAGAAAGAATTTTGATTAATTCTACCCCGAAGGGGATAAAATAGGGGATGAAAGTTTGTATGAAACTTTGTCAACAAGCTAAGCTAGCTAAAGCTCGTGTTATGGTTACTAGATAACTAATTCAAATATATAGATATTTTTAATTTTCGGAAATACATAATTATTATATATAGAAAACACTCAGACCGACACAAACAATCATAGTCATGAATACAAAATGTTAGTGCTAATCGAGGAATCGAAACCGCGATCATTGGAAGTAAATCGGTGTACTAAACCGCTAGACCACCGAGGTCGTCGAATATTCTATTTTGTTAACTGATCAATGTTGTGTATTTTTTTTATATTTATATTAATATTACTAGCTGTGCCCGCGGTTCTACCTGCGTTAAATTTTATATAAAATATAGTCTATATGTTATACTGATACATAAGCTATATTATTGTAAAGTTTCATCAAAATCCGTTTAGTAGTTTTTGCGTGAAAGAGTAACAAACATTCATACTCACAAACATTAGCGTTTATAATATATATATATATATATATCTACACAGGTGTGCATGTATTATATATATAAACCTTCCTCTTGAATCACTCTATCTATTAATAAAAACCGCTTCAAAATCCGTTGCGTAGTTTTAAAGATTTAAGCATACATAGGGACGGACAGACAGCGACAGTGACTTTGTTTTATACTATGTAATGATTAAGATTAAGATTACTCTACTATATATATTCTCTTTAATGCAAAATTAAAGTTTTATCTATACATATAAATAAAATTGGAGTATCTGTTTGTAATATTGAAATAAACCGCGAGCGGTGCGATGGTAAAAGGTGGCCGTCGGCATCATGTCGAACAATTCCTCAGAACACAGTCCGTTGTATAATCTGTAGAACACACAAAGCGAAGCGAAGTCTCTGTTGTCTGTATGTCTGTAACCTGTTGGTATTGAGCGCTCAAAAATACGTTTGCCATTGCTTTTGTGATTGAGTGAGTATTGTTCGTGAAACTTTTTCATCGGTTGTCTCCACTTAATAGTTCGACGTATTTATTATTAACACTTGAATGACACCTGCCTTTCTTCAGCGAAAGGAAAATGAACAGACGGTGTATTCCAAATAAGTAAAAATATTGATAGCGTCGAATAGAAAGTTTATTTTAAGTCGACTCAGTGGTTTTCTGTTATTGTATTTTAAATAAAGATTCCTTTGAGAAAATTATTTTGGTGTTCATCAATGTAATACTGTGTCTATTTTTAAACTTTCGTATTTAATGTACATTAAACATATATATTACGACCTCGGTGGTCTAGCGGTCTAGCACACTGTTTTACGACCGATGGTCGCGGGTTCGATTCATCGTACGGCACAAACAGTTGTATTCATGAGTATGATTGTTTGTATCGGCCTGGGTGTTTTCTATGTATAATATGTATTTATTTACAAAAAATATATATATGTATGTATATGTATCAGTTATCTAGTACCCATGACACAAGCTTTAGCTAGCTTATCTTGGGTCTAAATGGTGCTGTGTGAATTGTCCTGAGATTACTATTATATTTTATTCATAGCGCTAACAATATTATCTGATTGCACTAAGAATGAGTGCGTAGCGGTTTCTATATTGATTATCGCATGCCTCTTACTTGTTATTGTGTAATTATTTACATAAAAAAAACATCTATTCAAAAGAGCAACACACAAGTTTCTTGTTCATTCTTCTTGTGATGAATCTGCGTTCCGAATGAGTGGTAGAATCAAAAATATGACTATTCAAAAGTGCTTGTATTGAGTTTATTTGAATAAAGATTGTTTGTATTTATATTTCTTATATTATTAACCGGGTCTTAACACGAATAATTTTATGGCAAATAAAGGTATTTACCTCTCTCGATGTTTCGACTAGGTTGCACTAGCCGTGGTCACGGCTTGAGAAACTGATTTGAGTACCGACGATGTCAATGCAGATACTATGATTGCTGTGTCGCGATCTTTCGTTGGAAAATCTAGTAACGGTTGAAGAAAAACCCTTCTGGTACCTATCTACATTGACGTCGCTGTTACTCCAGTCAAAGCGTGACGTGAGTGCAAATTAGTCGAAATGTCAAGAGTGGTAAATTGTGGTATCGTGGTATGGACTTGTAATTTTTTGAGCATGGATTGGTGTTTGTTTCAGCTAATCTATACATATAAATAAAATTGGAGCGTCTGTTTGTAATATTGAAATAATCGTTTTTTACACACTGCGTCAAACAGTTAAATAATATGTCGATGAAGCATCCATAAGAACGAGTACTACTAAATTGCGGTGTACACAATTACAAGTACATTTATAAATTATTTATTTTTTACTAGCTACTCGCCCCGGCTTCTCATGGGTGTACTTCTATACATGTAAATAAAATTGAAGTGTCTGTTTGTAAAATTGAAATAACCGTTTTTTACTACATGAATATAAATACGGTACATACACCGAAATAACATTTTTTATAATTTTTGTCTGTCTGTCTGTTTGTTCCGGCTAATCTCTGAAAAGGCTGGACCGATTTTGACGGGACTTCTTTTGTCAGGTAGCTGTTGTAATAAGGAGTAACTTAGGCTACTTCTATTTTAGAAAAATGAAGTTAAATTCCACGCGGACGAAGTCGCGTGTCAGCTGGTATACATATAAAACTCACCGGTGCATAGTCTGTGCTGACAGAATTGTGTCCAAATACGTAGAAATACGATTGTCTATTGGCTTTTGATTGGTAGTTCGCGAAATTGATGGCTGGAGAAAGAGTTCTGGCGTCGCTGAATATATTTAATATCACATCCCTGTTAGCTTCTACGCTCCAACGCTGAGGGTCCAGTTTCGATGGTGAATACCTTAAAAAAATTGTCGAAGTTTTTTTTTTAATTTTTATTTATAAAGAAAACTTGCAATCAGTCACTTGGACTATAAACATTTTTAATTTAAAAAAAAGTTGCAATGTGTCGCTTGGACTATAAACAGATGTGGTGTCTAATATATAGGTAGAGTGCAACTCAACTAAATGTCAGTCTCCTGTCTGGCTATATTGGTAAAATAAATCACACTTTAAAAAAATAAATGTCTAAGTAAAAATAATTTATTCATATACGACATTTACAGATATAAATTTGAATATATATCATCATCATTGCCTTGCCTTTATCCCATTATTTGTGATAGGCGCAGTATGTCATTCTCTTCCACTGCTCTCTATCGGTCGTCATATCTGAACATACTCTTCTTTTATTCATATCATCTTTCACACAATCCATCCATCTTTTCTTAGGGCGTCCCCTCCCTTTACATCCATCCACATTCATATTTTTAATTATTATATAACAATATTAATAATAATCTCAGGACAATTCACACAGCGCTATCTAGACCCAAGTTAATCTAGCTAAATCTTTTGTTACAGGTACTATAATTGATAAAAATACTTCGATTTTTTTTGGTAAATACATATATAATATACATAGAAAACAAACCGATGCAAACAATTATACTTATGAAAGAAATGTTTGCATCGTTCGAGGAATCGAACCCGCGACCATTAGAAGCAAAGCGGTGTAGCACCGCTAGAATACTGAGCTTGTCGTCTTATATACGTAATATGGAGTATAGTTAGATAAAATAAATAAAATCCATACTTACTGTTTCAATATATCCTTCAATGCCTCTCTACCAGCCCCTTCGAAAATAATTTTATTATATTTGACAATAAAATCATCCCTTTGATTTTCTAGAATACCATGGTCGAGTTCAATGACCCCGAAATCGTGATAGCTCTCCATTTCTGTCACTCCGCTTAGAAGTTGATATCTGAATAAGAAAAAAATAAGCATTTGATATTCTACTAGCTGTTCCCGTGACTTCGTCCGCGTGGAATTTAATTTTATTTTACTAAAATAAAAAGTAGCCTAAGTTATTCCTTATTACATCAGCTACCTAACAAAAAAAGACCCGCCATTTCAGAGATTAGCCGGAATAAATAGACAGACAGACAGACAAAAATTATAAAAAATGTTATTTTGGTATATGTACCGTATATATATTTATATGCATGTAGTAAAAAACAGTAGAAATAGAAATAGAAATAGAAATAATCTTTATTCAAATAAACTCATTACAAGCACTTTTGAATAGTCATATTTTGATTCTACCACTCATTCGGAATGCAGATTCATCACAAGAAGAATGAGCAAGAAACTTGTGTGTTGCTCTTTTTGATAGATGTTTTTTTTATATAAATAATTACAGTGTAACAAGTAAGAGGCATGCGACAATCAACATAGAAATCGCTACGCACTCATTATTAGTGTAATCAGATAATATTGTCAGTGCTATGTATTTAAAATTTTTCTACAAAAACATTATTATCGTTAACGAATTCTTCAATTTTATAGTAGGCTTTTTTGCAAAGGAACTGTTTTATTTGACATTTAAATCTTTTTTCTGGCAGATTTATAACAGACTCTGGTATTTTATTGTAAAACCTTACGCAATTGCCATAAAACGAATTACTAACTTTAGCCAAACGACATTTAGGTAAAATAAGTTACTTCAATATTACAAACAGACACTCCAATTGTATTTATATGTATATATAATTACATCTCGTCGTTTCGACTAGATTGCACTAGCCGTGGTGTTTTAAAATGAATGGTCATGAGCTCACTGCTCATCAACGTTTAACATATTATGTTATCTGTGGTTTAACTATATTAATAACTAGCTGACCCGTGCAACTTCGTCTGTGTTTCATTTCCCAACCTTTTGTAATATTTTCATTGCAGCTCCGCTCCTATTGATCGCAGCGTAATGTTATATAGCTTAAAGCCTTCCTCGACAAATGTACTATTGGACACAAAAATATTTTTTTAATTCGAACCAGTAGTTCCTGAGATTAGCACGTTCAAACAAACAAACTCTTCAGTATTATAATAGTATATATAGTATACTCGATATTCGCCCCGTGTTTGCACGGATGTATATGTATTATAGATATAAACCTTCCTCTTGAATCACTGTATCTATTAAAAAAACTCGTTGCATAGTTTTAAAGATTTAAGCATACATAGAGACAGACAGCGACAGTAACTTTGTTTTATACTATGTAGTGATGATGTGTATTAAACGCAAAAGTTTAAAGATATATTCTCACCTGCTCAACAAGTTAGGGAAAGACTCCATCGTCTCCTTAGGCTCGTTGGTTATGAAATTACCGGCTACCGTGGGACCTAGTGGCGTTTCGAATTCTCTCGCCAATATCTGAACCTTCTTGATCTCTGATAAACTGTAGAAGAAAAATTGAATTTTTAAACTGTGATATGGCAATAGTTAATTTAGAATACGTTGGTATGGATCTGATGGTAAAGGGGTACCGTAACCTATACACACCTGAGGCACCAGGGGTGTCATGTGCGCATTGTCGATCCGTAAACAACCATAATATACCGTTCTTGAAAAACCCTATGCTGTAGTTATTCGCAAAAACCTTGGCAGGTAGTTCATTCTACAATCGAAGTGTGTAGAGGAAGCTCCTCTGAAACCACAGAGTCTGAAACCACTTTGGTTCTAGAGTGTGGGGATGAATTCCCTGTCGATGGCGAGTGATGCAATGCTCAAAGGTAGTCCTAGGTAGAGATGTGTCGACTCGAGTTACTAACTCGAGTTAACTCGTGTTGCGCATAATTCGAGTTAACTCGAGTTGAATTCTACCAACTCGAGTTGGAAGAATTCAACTGGTAAATAAATGAATCAAATTAAAGAGCGAGAGCATGATTCTGTCATCGAACTGACAATGACATGAAATTTTTATATCGTACAATTTTCACTCGTCACAAATACCATATTTCAATATTGATTTGAGGTTGTTATCATTTTATTTTCGCATATTCGTCCGATTATCTTATCAATAAAATAGTTATGTGTCCCATAAGTCCTTCCGCGGCTTTAAAGTGCCATTTCTACTCGCCCCCTAAAGTTCGGTGAAGCTTTCAAGGCTAGCTGCGCCCAAAAACATTAGAATTGTTCGAAAAAATAAAAAAAAAATATTCCAGGTAACTCGAGTCAACTCGAGTTAACTCGAGTTGACTCGAGTCATGTTTATTACGAGTTAGCACATCTCTAGTCGTAGGTATGTCCAACAAATCTTCAGAATACAGTCCGTTGTATATTTGATAGAACACACAAAGCGATGCATCCATTTAAGTGGAGTAATGTAATGATGTAATTGTACTACACAATCACACTTTTTAGGATGCTTCATTAAATATCAAACCACAGGTTTTGTGCTTAACGACAGCGCTTTAGCGCTGGATACTTTCCTATGACAAATATTACAAGGATTATTTAAAAGAGCAACACACAAGTTTCTTGCTCGTTCTTCTTGTGATGAGACAGCTTTCCGAACGAGTGGTAGATAAAAAACAAATTGTTATGACTATTCAAAAGTGCTTAAATTAATTTTATTTGAATAAATGATTTTCTATTCTATTCTATTCTATTCTATTATTTATTTTAATACTACGCGGACAAAATCGCGTGTAAAAGCTAGTTATTTACAAAAAAGTATAACGTAAAGAAAAATCTAATATTTTTCATTGGCATTAATATTTAATACAATTGTGTTGGAACGTAGGCCTCATAATTTTTATTTATTTATTTGTATAATCAACAGCAGAAGTGTTTTTCCAACGATGATATAATATTACTACTCTTGGACAATTCACACAGTATCATCTAACTTCCATCTAACCAGTCCTTCTGATCGATCCCTCGTTTAGTTCATACGGGGATAGAAATGACGTCGGCCTGAGCCCTGACTCCAACCCTCGGTGTCTGAGTCTGAGGACACCACTATGGGTTACCCTCAGACAGTAAAGTCCGTTAGGCGGGTTGGCCTTCAGCCACTCCATAAGTCCTTCCGCGGGTTTGGAGTGCCATCTGCACACGCCCCTATCGTCTGGTGAAGCTGTAAAGGCCAGCTGCGGCCAACAGCATCAAACTAGTCCGTTATAAAAATCTAAGCAGAGCTTGTATTGTAGGTACTAGATCATTGATATAAATAGATAGATTTTTTTTCTCAATACATAAGATAATATTTATAGAAAACACCCACAACGATAAAAACCATTATACTCATGAATTCAAATATTTATATGTATCTATATTATATATTTCACTTACTTAAATAAATTATGATGCAGGTACATTTTTTATAATTCTATACATAACATACTAAACCGATACAAACTAATGAATAAAAACATGAACGTGAGAGGACTCGGTGGTCTAGCGGTTTAGCACACATCATTACTCGCGGGTCGCGGGTTCGATCCTCGCATGGACCAAACATTTGTATTCATGAGTATAACTGCATTTATCGTCCTGGGTTTTTCTATTTATTTATAATTAAGTATTTACATTAGTTTTCTGACTAAGCAGAGCTTGTGTAATGGGTATAACACAAACTCTGCTTAGTTTGGAACTAGATGGCGCTGTTTTAATAGGCCAAGGTTATTTTTAATACTTATTTATTTGTTTGCTGTACCTAATTGAAAGCTTAAACTTTTTTTTAAATTAAACAAAAGTGAATATTAAAAATTTTGAGCAGAGTTTTAAAATCTTTTCCGCTTTGACTGTACTCACAAATACATTAGCCTGATTATACCAAAAGGTACGTGCTTTGGGTATTGATATATAGGCTCAAAGAAAAGTGGATCAAATTGAAAAAGGCCCGGGTTCCCACAAATTATAAAACTGACCCGCGCTCTACAAAGGTCAAACCAGTTAAATATATGTCGATGAAGGGTCCATAAGAACAAGTACTACTAAATTGCGGTGTACACAATTACAATTACATTCATGAACTAGTTGTACCCGCGACTTCGTCTACGTGGAATTTAAGTTTATTTTTCTAAAAAAAAGTACCCTAAGTTACTCTTTATTGCATCAGCTACCTGCCAATAAAAGTTTCGTCAAAATCGGTCCAGCCATTTCAGAGATTAGCCGGAACAAACAGACAGACAGACAGACAAAAATTGGAATAAATGTTATTTTGGTGTATGTACCGTATTTATATTAATATGCATGTAGTAAAAAACCGTTATTTCAATGTTACAAACAGACACTCCAATTTTATTTACATGTATAGATATATAGATGTCATATACATATGTTTGCATAAGACCTTTATTGTGATATTATGGAATGCAAATGAAGGAATAAATACTTAATATATATATATATATATATATATATATATATATATTTATATATATATATATATAAAAACACTTACGGTTTATTTTGTAGACAACTCATCAGATTCTTTGAACTGGGATTACAGCCTATACTCTGGGCTACTTGTAGTGTGTATTGCAATGGATTCTTTGTCATAGCCCAATCCGATAATGCTGAGCCCGACATCAAAATGGCTCGATGGAATAAACCTTAAAAAAAAAACAATTTATGGCTTCGTGAATTGTCTTGAGATTATTATTATTATCTATTAACCCAGTCCTGTATCCTCATTTTTTCGAGGCGGGACAATAACTAAACAATGCAGCCTACCTAGGACTCTCTTTCCCTCCCCCTTATACCATTTATACAATACTAGCTACTCGCCCCGGCTTCACACAGATATACATGTATTAGTATATATAAACCTTCATCTTGAATCACTCTATCTATTAAAAAAAACCGCTTCAAAATCCGTTGCGTAATTTTAAAGATTTAAGCATACATAGGGACAGACAGCGACAGCGACTTTGTTTTATACTATGTAATAATGAAGAGAGCATAGTCCTAGTGGCTTCAACTTACATCAGAAAAAGTCGTGAGTTCAAATCATGCAAACAATTTTTGATTCATTTCCCTGATTAGTACGATCGTGCATGGTAATAGCACGGGATTTTCATTTAATGTTAAACATAGACACCTATGTAAATAAACTGGTTTTAAAAAGTATATTCAATTGTGTTTCTTGCCAGTTCTTCTCAATGGCTTCTATATACTGAACTGGACGGTAGGGAAAATATTATAATATAAAAAATTAGATGTTCATAAGTGGCTAAAATCTCTCACATGAATAAATGTTTTGAATTTCAATTTGATTTAACGTCCTTCCAAAAACACAAAAATGTACTACCAACAGATGAACAAGACTTTGTTTTATATCATTTACATTTACAATTGAAAGTATATTATTTCCAGCCAAATAAAGAGAACAAATGAAATATTTTAACAAAGGAAATAACGTATAATAACAAAAACAAACATAATATAGTCAGACATATTACGAACAAAATAGAATACAGAAAATATCGGAGAAAGTAAGTGAAGTGTATTTGTGAACGTCGTGTTTATAGATGTCGCTGTATATCTAATTACTAGCAGTATATATCAATACTAATTACATATATAGTGTACCAAGCGAAACGATGCCTACAATTTTTATCGAGAAACGAGGGAAATAGACAGCAAAACATATGACGACCTCGGTGGTCTAGCGATCAAGCACATCGCTTTACGACCGATGGTCGCGGGTTCGATTCCTCGCACGGCACAAATATTTGTATTCATGAGTATGATTGTTTGTATCGGTCTGGGTGTTTTCTATATATAATATGTATTTATTTACAAAAAAAAAATCTATGTATATGTATCAGTTGTCCAGTACCCATAACACAAGCTTTAGCTAGCTTAACTTGGGTCTAGATGGTGCTGTGTGAATTGTCCTGAGATTATTGTAATTTTTTTTTTTTCTCAGCTTATGCTGGTTTTCTCCACACTTACGGGCCGAAACCAAATAAGTGCAGAGTGTGTGTATGTGTGTGTGCGCGTGTGTGTACGCGCGCGCATATGTGCGTGCGTGTGAGCACGTTTGTGTGTATGTGTGAGTGTGTGTGTAATTATTACTATTATTATTTTTAAACAAAACAAACAAAGGTTTATATATATGATACATGTACACCCATGCGAAGCCCGGGCGAGTAGCTAGTAATGAATAATCTACACGAAAACTTATTAATGTGTTTTGAAATCATTACCTAACTAATATAGGCATCATAATTCTAATTATGCAACGTGTAAGGTTCAGTTTAATGATGCATTAACATTGATGGAGTGTACGTAATTTGAGAAGCACGCTTTGAAAATATGGCTCTATATAATACCTGCATTATCGGCATTGGTAGTATACCAGTTTAGCACACCGTGGTACCTCCAACGGTTGCGGGTTCGATTCCTCGTACGGTACAAATATTTGTATTCGTGAGTATGATTTGTTGTATTAATCTGGGTATTTTCTATGTACAATACATATATATTTACGATTACGAAAAAATAATATTTATTTATGGATTTGTACACAGCCTTATTTCTATTTTTTGTATAACTACAAAATTTGTATTATGAATACCAAAAAATACCCTATATCGTATATCGTATTCTTTGCTTAGAACTAGATGGCGTTGTGTGAAAGAAATAACGTCTCTAGTTCTAATTCATACAACGCTTGTAAAGCAAGCTGTTTGTCATCAGAATTGGGGAAGAAGCAGATGTCATTTTACACACCCTATATTTTTTTATATAACTACAAAATTTGTGTTCTGAGTACTAAAAAATTTAAATATCGTATTTTTTGCTCAGAACTAGATGGCGCGATGTGAAATAAATAGTGCCTCTAGTTCTAATGTACACAATGCTTACAAAGCAGGTTCCTGGTCGTCAGAATTAGATAAGAAGCAAATGACATTTTACACCGCCTTATTTATATATTTTTTTATCTACAAAATTTGTATTATAGATACTAAAAAACTTAAACATCGTATTTTTAGATTAGAACTAAATATTGTATAGAACTAGATGGCGCTGTGTGAAATAAATAGTGCCTCTAGTTGTAATGCATATAGCACTTGCAAAGCTGCTTGCCGTCTGAATTAGGTAAGAAGCAGATAACATTTTACACAACCTTAGTTCTATCTTTTTTTATATATATAACTACAAAATTTGTATTATGAGTACTAAAAACTTAAATATCGTATTTTTTACTTAGAACTAGTTGGCGTTGTGTGAAAGAAATAACGCCTCTAGTTCTAATGCATACAACATCTGCAAAGCAAGTTCCTTACCGTCAGAATTAGTCAAATGAGTTTTAACACAGTCGATCTAAAATTATTAAAAATCAATATTCTTACCATACATCCATCTTTGTTCGTTCTGAACTATTAAAAACAAAGTTCTTACCATTAGATATAGGTGATAGGATCAAAAAGTTGACACAGGCTGCACCCGTACCGTGACCCATCAGTGTCACAGATGTAGGATCTCCGTTTAGATCCTGTATATTGTCCTTGATCCAGGTGAGTGCTGCAAGCTGATCCAGCAGTCCATTATTACCGTATTCATGTTCTGTTGTGCTTGGCTTCATAAAACCTAGAAAAAAGTTTATAAAAATTTATTTATATATTATATTAGTTTATGAAACACGTTGTCTGGCGTAGATTGATAAACTTTCGTAGATTGCGTTCTTTTGTAAGATTTGATTTCTTAAGATATCAGTACTAACATCGATAAGTGAATTCTGGTAAAAGAACAAAAGAAGAAGAAGAAACACGAAATTAATACATAATTAGAAAATATCTAGACCGATGCTAACAATCATACTTATGAATATAAATTGTTGTACTGTGCGAAGAATCGAGCTCGCGACTATTACCGATTACCGATATGGTTTAGCATATGTACTTACTTCCAATACTCGCGAGCTCGATTCTTCGCACAGTACAACAATTTACTATATGTAACATTTATTCCTTATTTAAAAATTCTTTATTCTTTCAGTGAATAATTTGTACCGCCACTTTGTTATTTACTTTTAGTACGTGATTTTTAGTAGTTAGGTTTTAGATTTTGAACTTATTTACAGAAAAATATAATCGCTGGAACTGAGGTACCAACATAGGTGACTTTTTACATTGTCTACCTCAGTAAAAAAACTGATTATCAATAGTCGGATTTTAGTTTTTAAACTTATTTATAAAAAACAGTATTAGCTGGAACTGAGGTACTAACATAGGCGACTATTTATATTGTCTACCTCAGTAAAAAAACTGATTATCAATAGTCGGATTTTAGTTTTTAAACTTATTTATAAAAAACAGTATTAGCTGGAACTGAGGTACTAACATAGGCGACTATTTATATTGTCTACCTCAGTAAAAAAACTGATTATCAATAGTCGGATTTTAGTTTTTGAACTTATTTACAAAAAAAATATAATCGCTGGAACTGAGGTACCAACATAGGTGACTATTTACAATGTCTACCTCAGTAAAATAAACTGATTATCAATAGTTGGATTTTAGTTTCTGAAATTATTTATTAAAAAAAATTGGTGAAACTGAGGTACCAATATAAGTGACTTTTTACTACTACTGTAAAATTTATTGAAATTAATTATAAAGAAAAAAATAGATGAAGTAGAGGTACCAACATAGGCGTACATTTTGATAAAGTGTACCTCAGTAAAAAAACTTACCAAGTATTCCCAATCTGAAGTTTAAAGTAATCACCATTATGTTTCCATAGGCAGCCAGTATTCTGCCATCGTACGGGTTACCGGAGCTCCACTCAAACGAGTCGCCATGAATGAAGACAAGCACTGGGAATTTCTTGGTCTTTGTATCTGTAATATATGTATATTTTTTTAATAATTAGTCTAGTGCGAATGGAATGGGAATGACTAGGATTGCGGATAATGTTATTATTTGTTTCTTTATTCTTCTTTATGATAATTTATAGGTAATTTTTTTTTTTTTTTTGGTTTAGATGTCTAACAATTAGACATATTATTTTGATCAATTACGAAACACAATTAACTAATCAAAAATATACAAAGTTTTCTACAGCTAGTCCAAACCAAGAAAATTTGTTTAAAATTCAGTCTATAAAAAATAATAAAATTAGAAATGTTAGTCGACTCCAAAAAAGAACAGGAGGTTCTCAATTCGGCTGGTTTTTTTAATGTTTGTTACTTCATAACTCCTTTATTTCTATACCGATTTGAAAAAAACTTTTTTTTTTTTAATTCAAAGAGTATACTTTCAAACTGGTCTCATTTTTATTTTGAATGTTTGGAGTCGGTTATTTTTTTTTTAATTTCATATACTAACTCATTAACAATTGAATGTGGGCTCTCATTTATGTATTAGATTGGATGTTACATAATGATGAAATGTCAGTAATAATTTTATTATCATTATAATTAGGTGCTCATTAAAGATACAAACAGTACAATTTTCTACAAGCAGCGACATCTATCGCGTATAACGTAAACTGTGTATGTTCAGATTCATGTTCCTGAAACTGAAATTTCAGGGGTGGATTACGTAGCTTCGCAACTGTACTTAAAGCTTTCATTTATAGTCGCTAGATGGCGGTGATTATAATATTATTATTATCAATATATTTTCAAGTTGTTAGTTTATTATTTGATTATTATTAGGTAACAAAGCGACGAACCTTACTCATATAATATACGTTCAAATAGGTTTGCGAGTTGTGGATGGATATGTTTATTAATCTTTCACGCGACTGAAACCGTAATACAAAAAACCGGCTAATAAAAAAAGGTAACTATAAAAAAGAAATAATTATTGCTGTATTAAATTAATATATATAGATATTACTATATATAATGTCATTTAAGTATACCTACAATAAATATTTTATTGATCTTTTATAAATATAACCTAATATTATTTATACATTAAACCACACAAGGTTTTCAGTATTTTTTTTATTTTTTTATATTTATGCGACTTTTATAGCGAATAAATTATATATAAACACTTATTCGCATTATTTTTATTATTATGAAATATATATTATACTTTTATATAAGCGGTAGATTAAAAAAATGTAATGACTATTGTGACAAAAGTGCTTCAATGTAAGTTTATTTGAATAAATCATTTTCTATTCTTTTCTATATTTTATAATTAAATTATTAAAGATTTGTATTTTTTGACATATTTAGTTAAAGAATAATTTTACATATATCAAATGTTTATAAAATAATTACGTAAGTCGCTAGTATTTTTTATGGATGATAATGGAATGGTGCACCTGCCTGCGCTAACGGTTTTCGCTGCCGGGGCACCAGTGGAGGATGATAAGATGAGCATGAGGTCAGGTCAGTTAACTCATCGTGCTAAATTCACTATTAGCTTATCACGTTGGTTTCGTTGTTAGTAATGGAGTTATTAGTCCACATTAGTAACAATCCTCTTCCCAGGAGGAAATACCAGGGGTAGAGGGACCCCTAGTATTGCAGCGTCTACAGACACTAGCCAGGCTACGGTAACCGTGGGGAACTTAGTTACAAAAAAATTGAGAAGATCTCACCCCCACGCGGTCACCCTCGCCAAACGCCAAGTTTTTCAATTCATTCTTTACTAATATTATAAATGCGAAAGTAACTCTGTCTGTCTGTCTCGCTTTCACGCCAAAACTACTAAACCGATGTAAATGAAATTTGGCAGATAGTCTAAGAAGGACATAGGCTACTTTTTAATGCGAAATAAGGCGGACGATGTCGCGGGTACAGCTAGTGTTACAAATATGTTAAAAAAAATGTTTTGTCACATCTACGTAGATTTATTACCTCTTTTAATTTTCTTACCAGTTTCGAAATGTTTGAATAGACAAAAACTGACAAGAAATTCGGTTGCGCAGTTTCTTTCATAACATAATATTACTAGACTACATCTAACTAAAAGCATATTCAGAAATTATGATATGCAGTAAAAATTATGTTATCTGTCATAAATATTTTACTACACATTTTAAAGTTGGCTTCTGGGTAATTAAAGCTCTAAGGATCACATGAAAAAGTAATAAAATTGAAATGTTATTTTCAACGCCAGACTTTTCATATTATTTTTTACGTTTTTAATTTGGTCGTATAAATCTTTTAACTATTTAAAATATCTCTGCATTTTTGGGATTATTAATTATGAGATTTATTAATGTACGTGAATTAAATAGGCGTTATATTAAAGGAAATGCATTTATTTATTTAACTTTAATGCACACAATACAATATATAGTACAGTACATTTGGCGGACTTAACACCATGCGGTATTTTCTACCAGGCAACCATAGGTGGTGCGGAGAATAATTGTTGGCGGTGCAAAAATGAATTGATTTATTTTTTCTGGGAAGGCAACGTGACTGGGAAACTACCCGCTGTCTCTCTCTATCTTAGTTTGTTAACCATAACCATCACCGGAAGAGAAAGAGATATGATAGTAATGAGGACCAGAGCTCCTATTGCTATGTATTCGAATGACCTCCTCGTGGTCCTCTTTGGAAACGATTTTGGTTAAATATATAGATATATATACTATCCTAGAATACCGCAAAAGCCGTCATGGTACCTCGTCACGGCATATGCTGAATAACACAACTGGAGCACTATTTTTTTTATGAATGTTAATGATATGGTGAAACCGCCTGCGCTAACGGTTTACGCTGGCGGGGCACCAGTGGAAGATGATAAGATGAGAATGAGGTCAGGTCAGTTAGCCCATCGAGCAAATTCACCAAGGATTTGTCGCGATGGTTTCCAGGAGGAACCGCGTGGAGGTCAACCTGACATGGTACAAATGGTGCACACGCCTGCGCTAACGGTTTACGCTGGCGTGGCACCAGTGGAAGATGATAAGATGAGAATGAGGTCAGGTCAGTTAGCCCATCGTGACAAATTCACCAAGAATTTATCGCGATGGTTTCCAGGGGGAACCGCGTGGAGGTCAACCTGACATGGTACAAATGGTGCACCCGCCTGCGCTAACGGTATACGCTGGCGGTGCACCAGTGGAAGATGATAAGATGAGAATGAGGTCAGGTCAGTTAGCCCATCGTGACAAATTCACCAAGAATTTATCGCGATGGTTTCCAGGAGGAACTGCGTGTAGATCAACCTGATATGGTACATTGCTAGCAATAAGATCATCAATCCACATTACTAACAATCCCCTTTCCCCCATACTGGAGCACTGTTGTGTGGTATCGATTGTTTTTGCATTTTTATTATTGTTTCTTTTTAATTTATACTGATTAAAAATCGATGGACTAACTAGTCTGACTTCTAGGTTATCCTATCATCCTTTACTGGTGCCCCGCTACCATGTACGGTAGCTCAGACGAGTGCAAAAAACTCCATCACTTGAAAATCAGTAAGGAATATAAATTGAAAACTGAAGTTTTGTTATATTTAATAAATGCGAACTTATGAATTCACAAAATAATATTTAAATATTAAAAGCGACTACTGATTACCGAATTATTGTAATAAACATCAAGGAAGGTGATCACACACGTACATAAAAGTAACTTTATGCATATACTAATAACATAATGGTACTAACATTTCTCCTTTTTTTATTTTGGTTACCTTTGTACTACAATATCTATATCTGTAATTAATAATAATAATAATTTGGAAACAGGAAAAAGTTTATATAATACCCATAGTCCTCTCATCTACAGGTATCATACCCAAACACCTACATCATAGCCTGAAACAATTAGATATACAAAAAACACTTTACATCACCCTTCAAAAAGCTACCATCTTAAATACCTGTCGTACTGTCCGAAAATTTCTCGAAATCGATGAAAATGATATAACACCAGTCACACCAGGCACACAATAAGTACACACACACTCACACATACATACACGCGCACACACACATACACACACTCTGCACTTACTTGGTTTCGGCCCGTAAGTGTGGAGAAAACCAGCAATAGCTGAGAAAAAATAAATAATAACAATAATAATAATAATAATCTCAGGACAATTCACACAGCACCATCTAGACCCAAGTTAAGCTAGCTAAAGCTTGTGTTATGGGTACTAGACAACTGATACAAATACATTGATAATTTTTGTTTCGTAAATATATACATATTATACATAGAAAATACCCAGACCGATACAAACAATCATACTCATGAATACAAATGTTTGTGCCGTGCGAGGAATCGAACCAGCGACCATCGGGCGTAAAGCGGTGTGCTACCGCTAGACCACCGAGGTCGTCATCGTCACGTATTTATGTCATAGCATAACTCAGAATGTTTAAATTTTTTTTTTTATTAAGTCGTTTGGAATTGTCAGAATCGTGTTTCTAAGCATCTACCTAAATGGTATTCAATTTCATTAGTTTGGTTATCTTCAGTTTCAAATCAACTATCCCAGTTGATAATATTTTTCATTTTTTTGTAATTTAACTCGGAGTAGAAACTACTTTCGATTTCTTTTATTTTCTTTATTGCACTTTAATACATTTTTTTAATATATTAATTAGAATTAACCTTAACAAAGGAAGACTTATCTATAAAAGAGATATCTTCCAGTCAACCCAATACAGCGTGGCATAGGAAGTCTTGAATGTAAGTGTTTACTCAGTTTTTAAGAGGAAATCTCGATAAAAACAGTGTCTCATGGATAATTAGATAATGTTGTGGACAATAAAAAAAAAGAAGCAAACAATAGCGCACCCTTGAAAGCGTCCAACCGTTCTTGGCTTTCTTTGTTCAAGCAAAGCTATTGTTTATGTGAAAATTACGTGAAAATTTGCTATTCTCCTGTGAAATGAAAGGGTTTTGAT